GCTTTGTATCTAATGAAAAGGCGCTTTATAAATGTAATATTATTATTATTCTAAGTCTTAAAATGAGATGAACATTCTGTGTATGTTACCAATGATATGATTTATTGTGTTGTAATGATCAATGTACAGTACATGTACTTTGTTGAGAGCCGGAAAAAACGTTGTACCTTTGTGTCAACTTAAAATATGTACACGAATGAGTGAACCTCCTTCTGGCTCCAAACAGACAATAAATCTATTTCATTTTATTGCGTTTCTGTTAACTGACATGAATAAACAAACCAAACCGAGCTGAATTCACCAAGCCCTATGGCTCATCCTAAGATCCTAAACACTGAGGTATGGCCTACAATGTACATGTGGTCCTACATGTATATCTTCAAACCTTTATTTACATGTCAAGTCATGTGTCACTAGGCTTTTATTCATTTCTATTTAAAATCAATAGCAATTGCTTGTGCATTTGTAAGAAGACATGACGTATTGATCAACTGAACAGTAGTTAGTTTATCTCAAGGTCAAAGTGTCTACAAAGGACAGGTTTAAAGATCAATTTTTCTTGATTACATGTACAGTGTAGCAAGTAGCATGCATACACTACACATACGAAAGCATTCAAAATCATATTAGACTTACAGAGAGAGAGAGAGAGAGAGAAAGAAGCAACATTCCCCACATGCCCCCCCCCCCCCCTCACAAAAAAGATAACATTAATTCACATTGTAAAATGTAAATGCACTTTTTAGCATATCTATAGCATTTCATTAAACGATCAAATGAAAGAATATTTTGAAAAATGCAAAGAGAGAAAAGGGGCTGGCAGAAAGGGACATGGTGCAGCAGCAACATAAAAAGATGACCGCACCTCAACGCATCTTCCATGTCCTTACACCCTCGACCACAGCATTACTGTTTTGCATTTCCTTCCAGCCATCTCCATGTATTGTACTGGTAGTAGGATCAGTGCCCCCCCCCCCCACAAAAAAAAGAAAAAACGGACCCACCCTTTACCAATTGTACATAAATGTTGTTTGCAATGCACCTGTGTTTGCTAAAATCACAAGGAAAGGAAAATTTCAGTTGAAAAATATAGTTAAATGCATACTGGGTGAAAGTAGCCTTTTGACCCTAGGATTCAGCATTTGTTCCAATGCTGAAAGTAATCAAAACAAATATGAATCACAGTTCTATTATTTGATTAATTTTACCTGTTTACATTAAGTATACAATGATCACATATTTCTGCTGACAATTTGGACAAAGACCCACTGGGCACAAAGAAGGCACCACCAGACCATAACAATACCTTCACCTAAAAGTCAGTTCCGCTCCAGTACAGTTAACACAAGACCAAGTGAGAGAGATTTGCACTCAAAACCAAGCACAGCTTGACAGAAAGAGATCAAATAAAAGAAATTCAAATGGGAATATATGTAGAGGTGGAGCCAACACGTACATCCATTCAATGGCAAGACTTTTGCTGGAAATGTATAATGTGCATTTTAGGCCTAGGTGTGTACAGTTACTGCAGTACATGAAGGCCCCTAAATTGCTTCACTTTGTGTGTCAAGACTCAAGTGTGCCTGCATTTAATACCTGTCCAGTCTACCCTCCTCAAATAGATTTCCTTAGGGCATACAGTACACGTATGCATGTACCGGTACAATCACCTCCTTGCTACCAGTATCGACATGTACAAGTACATGTAGTACTGTCAAATTGAATTAAATGTCATAAATTATAGGGGATGAAGAAATCTGGATCATTTTCTGTCAGAACAAAAAGCAACTACAAGGAGTTCTTTCATTCAAAACATAATTTGATATTATTTTATCCATTAATCAAGATGAGATTTCCCACTCATTAGAGCTAAAAAGTTAATATAACTTCTACAATGACTTGATTTTTTAAAAGACTGGGGGGCGTTTCATGAAACGATTAGTCGGTGGTTTTCACCGACTAATATCATGTTCACTGACAATTTAGTCAGCGCTGACTAAATTTGACCAATCACAGTCCTGGAAAATAGTCGGTGACAAAAGAATTGTCGGTGAACATGATATTAGTTGTGAAAACCACCGACTAATTGTTTCATGAAACGCCCTAATAGCTCTATTTCAATTTTTTCTACACATGTATACACTGTATAACACCTGAAAAGAAAGAACAGGCAGGCCTACGGTACATGAAAATATTATTCATATATAAAATTATGAACAGATTTTATGCTAGTGAATACAATTTTTTTTAAAGATTGACTGATTAAATTTTGTTTAAATATACCGGTAGAAACACTGAATTTGAATTTGAACTGATTGATGTGTTGCTGATATCACTATGAACATGACGGACAATGAAAGCGGACAAAATATACAGTTCCTCAGGTAGACAAAGGAACATCCCTTCACTGCTATTATGTAAAAATGTGTAGAACAGGTGAATATGCATGTGACACCTGTTCTACACATTTTTACATAATAGCAGTGAAGGGATGTTCCTTTGTCTACCTGAGGAACTGTATATTTTGTCCGCTTTCATTGTCCATCATGTTCATAGTGTATAAATTGTAGAATGTTGTCCTTGGTGGGTAAAGTATTTTTTACCATACATGTACATGTACATGTACATGGTATCTGTCAAACATATGAAAAATAAAATCAAGAACATAGAATGAAACATAAAACAAAATATGTTGTATATAAATTATGTACAGCCTGCTGGTACAATGCTGATAAGTGTAGTTTCTGTGACTGTGAACATTTATTGCCACTTTCCCATCTGAACTGACATTTATTTAGTCAGCCTGCCATGTAATGTATTTCAGCTAAAAGGGAAGTGTTCAAGTTACTCAGCTATTAGAAATGTAAAGATCCATCAATAAATGGCTGATCCTACATGTACCTGGAATTTATTTAGCATTTTCTTCACAATATACTGTAAGTGTAAACATAATAAAAAATAATACTAAATAAATAGTTTTGAAAATAAAACCTGGCTCCATGAGCATGTAGAGTGAATGTACATTAAAGCATCTGAAATGTTCAATATAAATTTGCAAATTTGCCTGCCTTTAAAATTAATATTATTGAAGTATTTGGCATCACCTGTGCCTGGGAGGCAAAACAGAGTGTCCTTGTGCAGTAGAGGTCAACATCAAATCAACACCTACACATGTACACTGTAGATTGTCGAACCATGTTCAAAACAACCCGGTGTAGTATAGTAGTGATCCACTTGCACAGGTCCAAACAGTAACCAGGAGAGACCCGAGGGTTACAGTGATTCAGTTCGCTTTTCACCTCCTAGGCACAGGTGACGCTAAATAATAACAAGAGTTCTGAAAACATTGTGCTGATATTTTATCTCATGTTTTTACAGGTGAATGACACGCCCACTAAACATGATATACTGGTGACACATGTGTACATGTACAATGTACCAGGCAATAATAATTTTGTTACACATGGCGGCCCCATCAGCATCAATGCTGTTCTTCCTGAGAACCCTGCAATTGTTTTGTTTTTTTATATACCCCATGTCTAGATTCTAGGCCTCTGATTGGTCAAATTTGCGGGCAAGAAATTCACTGCAGACTGCCGGGCATAGTTTGTCTTTGTACGCGCGCGCACAGGTATTGCAATTTAGATATGCGGGCGCACGGCCGGCACCATATCGTACATGTACACCCAACAAAATTTCAAAAGAGTGATCGATGAGAATTACATTACGGTACCGCATTTCAAATGTCTTTGACATTAATTTCTGAGCTAACGAAGGATGCTGTATATAACAAATGTTGACTGATTCTTTTTCACATCACAGTAAAAACCATGTCCCTCAATGATCTCCGAACTGCGTTATACGCCCCTCGACTGTTGTCTCGGGGCATACATGTAGCACAGCTGCAAGCTACAGCTGCAAGCTCACCTCGGGCCATAGTTTTAACCATGCCCCTCAAAGCAGTCAACATTTGTATACTTGGGTGGAGTGGCAAAGGTAGTTTACTGTTTCATGTCTTGCCAAAGGATAAAATTAGTGCGAGCTGGGATTTAAACCCCAACTCTTGGATTGAGAGTTAAGTAAATGAATCATTATGGTATACCATAACAACTACATAAGTACCGTACTAGACTGTGACTACTACAACATACTAAATCTTGTTAGTAATATAATCAAATTCAATAATCCTGTAGTACGTTGAGTTTAAGAAATACATTCAATGTTTGGTCTTTTTTTAAATTTTTTTCTCCAAATCTGAGATCACAAACTAATAACATATCAAAAATATTACTGCTGCATCTCGCATATTACACCCAAAAATCTATTCGTTTGGGTATAATTTTCGCCGATACATCTGGCTTCACTAAATCCCTCTCCTAGATCTACATACATTGTACATGTACACATTTGGACTCTGGAGCTCTGGACTGTCAAAAGACAATTTTTTGTTTTGTTGTAAATACTCCAAGCAGATGAGATGGACTTTCCTGTCTACTATCGTACCTATCCAATAAAGCCATACTCATTATCATAGACAAAGTTATAGAAATTGCAGACCAATATCAATAAATAGCCTTAATTCAAAATTATATTTTAAATTTCCCATAAATAACGATGAATATGAGCCATCATGCAAAAGTTGATCCTTACGTAAATACTGTAGGGCCTATGACGTATCAGACTAAGTATCAGAGACAAACAAATCTAATCATTAATCAATGTGCATATTAGATTTTTATATGGGAATGGGGTCAAATGACTGAGATCAAATCGATTCTATTCTAACAAAATCTGAGCCTGAAAAGTTATAAATAGACCCTAGATCTAGGCCTAAACAAAATTTAAAAATAGAGTTGATTTTTAGCATTGCCAATGGCAATGCTAAGCAGTAGCTATCCTTTTAATTAAATTGTAGATCAAATTAAAAATTCTGTAGGGATTAAATCACATTCCGAAGACCATCACTGAGCTTCGAGACCTTACATTATCATTTCACTCACCGGTTCAAATTGATTCAATAATTGGTTTAGCCGTGCTGTAATAATATTACTAGCTGGAGCGTGAAGGGCTCAGTGCACTAGTAGTAGGCCGCTACTCTTGGCGGGTCTGGCAAGTGTAACTACGCTCAGATTTCTCTGCTCTGGCCAGGTGTCTCCATACACTCTCACTCTACTTCCAATTCGAGCTGATTGTTCCACTGATTTCTAACTCATCTATGGTCCTCTGGTACCTTCAATTTGTAAGGGGATGTCTGGTGAAAATGCAGCGGAAAAGGACAAAGATGAAAACGCTGATGATGTGGTGATAAGTAGCGAGTTTCTTCCACTACCAGATGGCGATTTCTATCGCGGCGCCACAAAATATCATATTCACACGACCATGATACCACATGCACAAAGCACTTGCAATGCGAGATACCAATCTTCCTAGGAATTGTAATGGTATTTTGGTAGTACGCGCGAGATGCCTGTGACGATGTTGGTGTTGCCAAAATGTGGAGCGGGGGTAAGATCGTATAAGCGAAGGGGGAGTGGGGTGCCACCAAAATGCAAAATACATATTTTTTGTATAAACTCACATATCCCTGGTATAAAGGCGGATAAGCGTTATTCTGCCCACACTTTTTACGCAATGGAAGAAAAATAGAGCTCAAAAGTGTTGGGAGCCCCAAAAATTTGATGGCAAAATTTCACTTTGTAAAATAAAGTGAAAGAGGACATTATTTAGGACACTGCAAGGATTTTCAAAACAAAATTATTGTATGATGAAAGAATACAATATTTAAGTTTTCTTTATCAATATATTATGTCTCCGAACACATTTTTTTTGGGGTGGAGGGGGAAATCTTTGTAGAAGTGTGTCTTAAATTAATTAAATCCTCTTTCACAATATGATACAATTTAAGTAAAATTTTGCCATCAGATTTTTGGCGAATCACAGCACAAATAGAAGGAATTGGAAAGGGCATAACAAATTTTCAAGGCCAATGAGAGGGGCATTGAGGCCAATCAAAAGGGCATCCACGGCCATGGCATTGGATTAATTTAAGCTCTGATGCCAGAGGCGGCACTCCCGGTGGGGGGGGGGCTGTGCCCCTTTTGTTTTCTAATAACTGTCCTTTTCCTCTCTTTTCATCTCTGGTGAGTACGTCTTTTTTGGTGCGAGAAATTCTCCTTTTCACCTTATGTTTGCCATTTTTTATTTTGACTCGTTCCACTTTTCCTTTTTAATAAGTGTACTTGTCCCTTCTTACTAAGAAATTAATATTCAGACCATCATACCTAACCGCAAAGTGTGTTGCTTAATTAAGTAGTATCTTGTACTACTTAAAGAAAGAACAAATATTGATATTATCCCTAGTAGTGTAATCACAATCATGACGATGTAGGGGTAAATATTATACCAATGTCTAAAAATGGTGTAGGTTTTGTTGATGCCTTGTTTCCCTTTGTAGGTGCCCCTTTTTTCTCCAGAAAGTACCCTTTTTTGTTGGCTCCCCCTCCCTATCTTGGAAGACACTCCGCCACCCCTGCATTACTTGGTGGCGATAAGGATTTTGTTCTGACCCCAAAAGTGACATCCGTCACCCGTCGATCGGTCACCCGTCCATTACCCATTCGGACAGTGAAGTAGAGCATCAGTATATATAACGGTATTCTAATCTGGCTACATTATTGATGACTAAATATTACTCCTTAACTGCAAAAAAAAAAAAAAAAAAAAAAAAAAGACACAAAAGGAGTTGCTTTTTTGTTTGTTCCAATCATTAGTTTTATCTATTTTATTTACGTGTTCATGTATTTTTTATATTTTTTTTTGTGTGGGTGTGTCGTAAACTTGTGTTTTTTAATATTTTTTTATCATTTTTTTTTTACTGCGAGCAACTTACTATATATACCGCCAAAACTTATTCAGTTTAGCTCCAAAATCAACCACATTGGAGAGAGAGGCGACTGGTGTGAACATAATGCTTCATATTAATTTCATAATTAGGGCCTAAAGGAGATGAATAGTATTTCGGGCAGTATTGGTTCACAGCGTCCCCTTTACTTTCAATTAAGAGTTTTGCGACTCGGATCGGAAGTTGACACTCGATCGGCCTTCCCAAACTAGTCTCGTGTCACCTTTGCCCCTCGTCGTTTTTCAATCTAATTTTTCAGATATTTTTTTTTGTTTTGAAAGATGATAAGTTCTAGATTCAGGTGCTGTTGTGGAATAGTGGTTCATTCACTTGACTTTCAAGTCAACCTGAGGGTTGAGGGATTCGAATCCCAGCTCGGCACCGATGTATTTTGGCCCGGTCTTTCGGCAAGACATTAATCCACATTCACCACTCTCCTTCCATGTGTAAATGGGAACCTGGCAATCGACGGGGTAATAATAATAGCAGGGCCACAGAAAGAACAGCAATGGTGCTGGTGAGGCCAGGCGCGGATCCAGGATTTCTCAGGGCCGGGGGCCCAATTTTTTTTGAAAATCGCGCCGGCCGAAAAGTCGCTCAGTGGGGGGGGGGGGGGGGGGGTAGTGAGCACATTTCTTTTTTTTTGCACCCCCTCCCCTTCTTGGGCGCCAGGGGGGGGGGGCCAACCCCCAAAACGTGTTTTTACATGTTTTTTTCCACGGGTGGGCGGCCCGGGCCACCCCCCCCCCCCCCTGGATCTGCCACTGGGTGAGGCTTCCCTGGCTAAACAAAATTCTTGTTATCGTTGTTGATGTAATTTTGTACTTGTTGGTGTTGTTACATTATTACAGATTTTTTTTAGAGAAACCCATGCAATGGCACTGGGCGTACGTTATTAAATTGTTACCATAAAGATCAATATGGATCTCTACGATTGCTACGCATAAAACCGGGAAGTATTAAAGGTGTCTTGTTATTATACGATCTACGAGAGAATCCGGTGCTGGCGCTGCATCCATACATCATCATCCACCACTTCACACTTTTACCAGGGAAGCTCCATCCAGGGCGCGGCGACTGGATCGGAAAGCTATAGATATAGATGCGAACGATCAAAATGCACTAGGCTTGTGGCGGGTCCAGTAGAGAAGGAGGGGGGGGGGGGGTAATCTAAAAGGTTCTTGTCGTGTGTTTCTCTACATTTATTTTCAAGTGAAAATGAAGTGATGTAAATATGCCAAATGCTTTAAAAAAAAAAAAAATCTTATAATCTAAAGCAAGTCTGAAGTAAATCTGAAGCTATCAATTAATGTGCATTACTACCGATATACAGAAAATTTATATGAAAAAACCTACTTCGAATTAGGGGCAACATGAAGTAAAAGTATCTAAACTTTCTTTCACTCTCTGGAAAATTTTCTTGACTAAAGTATACTATGGTCCAAGATACAATATTTTTGAAAAGATATACCGTACCCTGCCCGGTTTCCGCCCGATGGGCAGTTTTTCTCAGATAACTTCTCTGAAAATGAATTATACAGGCGCTAATGTATACCAATTTGTTGCCGAAATTCTAGCAAATCTAGCTATGCCATTCTTACGCCCGAAATCATAAGCGATTGTCCGTAGCGCGCCGTCTGCGTGAGGCATTTTCCTTGCCTAATTCCGCCTAGACCCGCCCTAATTCCGCCCGATGGTGGGCGCGCATCAAAAGTATAGAAAAAGGAAACATCTCGGGTACACGTTAGGCCAAATCAAATTGCTTCCCAGTAGAATTCGATCTACATGTTATTTTGATAATTGATATTTCTTTCTTTATTTCTTCCCTTGCCTCTGTAGGCCTAATGCAAGTGCACTGTTATTTATCAGTTTCTGATCTGGAAAAACAATTTTTTACTGCCTTTGGAAAATCCTGCGACTTGTCTATGATGTTTTAATAATGATTGTGTTCAGTCAAATCTTCAGTGTTCTATCGCTAATCGGGAGAGGGGAAGAAAAAAAAAATCCACAATAACAACATTTTGTCAAAAAAAAACTACCACTATTAAAGTAAACACTTTGGAAAGAGAGTAATGGCCTTTCATTTTTTTAATTTTTTTTTTAAACTGCAAATTATTCTCGACATCTCTCAAATCTTGATTAAAAAATAAATTAGCGTATATTTTTAGGATATTGGTTGGAAAAGCATAGCATTTTCGTCATAGGAATTATCATCATCGCCGACATCGTCTTAATCATCATCATTACAATTTTAGGGTAGGCCTATGTGACGCAAATGTGGTTTCCTGTTTGATTATTTGTTCAAGACTTCAAGTTGTTGTGTTTTTTGTTTTCTAGTTGTTCTAAATTATGCAGTATTTTATGCATTCAATAATAATAGTTCAACTTGAAAGATAAAACTTTCCGAAATGATCTTGAAAACGAAGTCGTCGATTCACTTCCATGGGGGGGGGGGGGGGGGGGGGGGGGTAGTGAGCACATTTTTTTTTTTTTGATCCTCAAAAAATTTCAATTTGCACCCCCCCCCCCTGAGCGCCAGGGGGGGGGGGGGGGCACACCCCAAAAAGGTAAAAATCACGTGATTTTACAATTTTTTTCTCAAGGGGGGGGGGGCCCGGGCCCCGGGATCCGCCACTGCCCCCACCCCCCCCCACATTTTCTACATAATGCTACATGTTAAATTCATCCATTCATCTATTTATTTATTCAATATTCATTCATTTTATTGCCGAGAGATATTTATGTTATGGATAGAGATGAAAAATGTTCACCTTTTATTCGCCATAAAACTTTCGCAAAACTAACAACGTAAGAATCACCTTAGCAATTTGAAAGGCCTGACAGGCGTATGCCCTTAATGTATTATTTATACTACTCTTTCGATAGCCATTCATATAGGTTTATTTCACATGAAACAACAGACTGGGATTTTAGTTTCTACCCCTATATTTATTTTATTCACAGTCAACTGAGGGAAATTTATGGCAGCGAAAATGTCATGATTCATGTTGGTCATGTTGGTAAAATTAGATAACACACAAACAATTGAAAAAAAAATTGAAAAATAATTATAGCCTAAAGCATAGAAGTATTAAGAAAGAAGGATATAAAATTGAAGAGGGAGACTAAAAGAAAAATGGGGAAAAGGAGGGGTGTAATCGAAGAAACATCCTGTATCGTATTATAAACAAGCACTCTTTTCGCTACAAAGCCACGACGCTGGATTAAAAGGCGACACAACATGAATACAAACTTTTTGCAAATCTATACCAACCCTGGCAACTTTTTTAAAAGCCGGACCTATTTTTTGTCATTGGGATCACTGTCGGAGAACCGAACTTCAAGCATTTCTTAATATCAATCATATCTAATTTTGTCACAAAATTTAACTTCATGACTAGTAGGCCTACATTAAATTACAAATCAATAGACCACATCGTTACCCGAAATTGTCGGTTGCTCGAACGAACGGCCAAACATCATTGCAACATTCTTCGGGGG